GTCCGCCCGCTTCCTCCCCGGGCTCCGGCGTGTGCCTGGGCTTGGGTGACAAGAGAAACTTCGCGACCTCCGGCCGGAGTTGACCGAGCCACCCGCCGGCGTGGCGCCCGCCGGCCCCCGCGCAGCCGGAGTCCCGCCGGCGGGGATCGTCTAGGGGTGTGTGTGGGGGGGGCGGGGGGGTTGAAGGTGCCCGAGTGCGGGTCGGCGTCTCGAGAGGAAGTTGCGAGCGGAGGGAGAGGTGGCGGCCGTGCCCCGCGACGGACCCCGCGCCTGCCCGGGTGCAGCCGCACTTGCCAAGAGCACACGGCGGGGTTCCAGCGGCATCTCTTCCCACAAGTCACCTTCATTCAACTTGGATGAGTTTCTAGGCCTTGGCACCCATGTAAGGTGGGGGGTCCAAGCCCGAGGCTGGGGCCCTCCCGTGGGGGGAGGGGGTAAGGTCAGCCCTAGAAGCCAATCGGAGATTCGAACCCCAGGTTTGCTCTTGGAGCCTGGTCGTTAGGTTTTTTCCAGTTTGCACCCCCTCCCAACCCCTTCCCACCCCACCCCCACGCATCCCCAGCCCAGGACCTATCCGGGATAAATCAGTGGTGTGGCTTCTCAGCTTGGCGCTTTCAGTTTCCTTTCTCATATGGGCCCATCCTCCCAATTCATTCAAAGAGGAAGAGTTAGTTGTAAATGGAAAACACACACAACACGTAAGACGAGTATGGAAGAGCATGTTTACTCTCTAGGTAGAAATCCTTATGTGTAAATTTTAATTTCTATTGAGAGGCTTTTTATGGTACTCCATAGAAGTAGACTTGGTGGCCCAGAGATAAAAATTACCTTATATGAAAATGCGGCCTTCATTTGTCCAAACTGAACGTGTGAGACACCCTGGCTTTGAAACAAGTGGCACTATGGAAGAGAGATTTCTTGTTTAAAGGGTAATTGGCACCAGTGGCTCAGGTCTGTAATCCTAGCTACTCAGAAGGCTGAGATCGGAGGATGGTAGTTCAAATGCAGCCCGGGCAGGGAAGTCCCTGTGACATTTATCTCCAATTAATCGCCAAAAATCTGGAAGTGGAGCCGTGGCCAAAGTAGTAGAGTGGTCGTCTTGAGCACAAAAGTTTAGGTATAGTTCAAACCCAATGCCCCCCCCATTGTCATTTAGAGGAAAGATGCTCTTTTTAAGTTAGTTGTTACTTGATCTTACCATCTTACTCATTTCAAACAGTAGTGACTTAAAAACAACCGTTAATTTTTTTTTATAGGACGGTGTCATTGCTCTTTGCAACCATTAATTTCTTTCCCAGAGACAGTCTATCAGTATTCATAGACAGGACTGGCCGAATATTAAAGTTTATTTAACTCACAATTCTGTTAAACAGGGCTAGGAAATTTCTAAGACCACCATGAACTGAAAAGACCTTAAAATTTGAGGTGTCCCTGACAGTAAATATTCAAGGAAGTTCTTGACTCAAGTGGTAAGAAGCACATAATTTGAACTTTTAGGAACTCTTTACAGTCTGCTCTGTCAGCCAGATAATTTGATTTAAGATTACATTGACCCATGACTTGAATATTTAAAAAATTTACTGTATTTATTCTTTCATAATAACATGTATGGTAAGAAAGCATCTTTTTTTAATTTACCAGTCTATTTGTGAATGTTGAAATAGGGTGGACTTGAGCTCTATACCATACTAATGTTTCTTTTTAGTCAGGGACACAGAATTGGAAGTAGCAAAGTAAACAAAGCTGGTTTAGTTAATGAACTTGTATTAGTTTAGATTTAGTGATTCACTGGTTTCTTTGACAGTATGGGAGATTAGTTAAGGAAGTTAGTGTGTTTATTTGTCCTTCCCTTTTGAGACAGGATCTCACCAAGACTTTTTGCCTTTTGGAAATATGAAGGCTGATGAGAGGACTGGCTGGACTGTACTCTTGGCTTGTAAACCAGGTAGGCATTTCTGAAATATGCTTTTAGGTTCATCATCCTCTGTGGCTATACAAATGTGTTTCAAGAGATTTCTAAATCTCTTGTAGTTGGGACCCAAACTTGTTTATGTCTGGTTTTCTGGAACTCTGGTATGTTGTTATAAAAGAAGTCTAAGATTTTTAAAAAAATAGACTTTAAAAAATAGACATCCTTTTATTAAATAAAATGAAATATAAGTATCATTTCTATAGTACAAAAGCATAAGAATAATTTTTTTCACAAGAAAATAAGTATAAAGAACTAGATCTTTATGTTCAGTACTTTTTAAAGTTGTCTTCACTTGCTCATGTTAGGAGTGGTAAAAGTATTTCCATTTTATTCTCATAGCAAAACATTGCCTGTCTGGTCCTATACAAATAAAGGACAAGCTAGCCTGACATGCTATAAGCAGTATAACTTCCTAATTATATCTAAACATTTAGACCAGAGAGTGAATAAGCAGTGACTTGAACTTGACACCAGCCCTTAAAGTAAATGGCTCATTCGGCTCCACTTTTTCTGGCAAATTTGAAATTTGACCAGGGACTTATCATTTTATGGCAGTATATTTGTGCCTTGGCAGGAACTGATAGGAAGAGATACAGTGTCTGAGTCAAAACAGAATTTACCTTGAGGTATCGTTCACTAAATGAGAGACCCCAGACTTCACATGCCTAGTGTGTATGAGGCCTTAATTCAGTCTCCATCACAACAATAAAGGAAGACAGGGCAGGAAAGGAGGAAGGAAAAGAGAGAATGGCAGCGAGACATATAGGTGCTACCTTCCATCCATGAAGTGCCTGGTAGTATTTGTGAGGACACTTCCCCAAAAAGAGAGAGTGATGAAGCATTTTTAGGGGACCAAGCTCAAGTCTTTGCCTATTCAATTCCTAAAACAGGAAAACGGCATTATGAATCAAGGAAGTGTGAGATGTGTGACTAAAATACCTATAATAATACTTTGGTCTTAAAAACAAGCTTATTTTTAATGTTTCTCTGTTTCTCTTTTCCATTGCATTTTTGTGTGCTGCTTTGGGGCTAGCGAATGGTTGTGAATCGTGGGTTTTAGGCTTGACGTGGGTTTAACTTGCCTTGCCTAAATTCTTGGATTTTGTTCATTTTGGGCTAGTATTCTCTGAATTTGAAGAAGATAAACATTGAATGGGACAAGAAATGGAAAAAACTTTTGTTCAGAGATCATAGGATATTTTTAAGTGTTCTGGAGGTAGTATCTATTTTGAAGATACCTTTTCAAAGACAATACTTTTAAACATTCCACGCAGTCATTGTGAAACTGTCCTATTTTCAATCCAGGAAGTCTTTTCCTATCTTCTGGTTACCATGGGCCAGTACCCTAACATCTATTGAACCTACTAGACATGTGCATTGTTTTTAGTAATGGGATCACATTCTCTCTGAAGCTAGCAACCTATATCAAAATTTTGAATCTGTGAGACCAGCTTTTACACAGGGTTAGAGCTGTGATCCATTCAAAACACGATTTTTTGGCCTAAAAGAGATGTCAGGTCATTCTTTACTTAGAAAAATATTAAGATGCATAGAATTGTGGCATCCCTATGCAACACACATACTATTTGTCACATCAAGGATTCTGGGCTTCTGTAGGCAGCTTGATATAGTGCTCTCTGTTTCTAATGAGATGAAACTCTGTGAGTTAGTCATAGTGTGAGGTTTTCTGTTCGTAGCACATGCATTATAGTATGTCACCAGTTAATTTTACTTATTGCTCAAAATGTTCTCACCTTGCTGAGTTTTCCATGGTGCTTAATAGAGTACTGCCTGTGTGGTGGTTCTGAAGGGAACCAGCCACTGTCTGGAGCTGTGTTATGCTTAATGTTTCTGTGTTTGCCTTTGCCCTGAAGAGGAAATAAAGATAGTGACCCTTCAGGTTGCTAACTAGAAACTCTTACTTTAGGGAAATCTGTATCCTCACCTCCCCATCCTCTTTCTGTGTGGTATGTTTGGCTATAAGAAGATTCTTCTTGTGTCCTAAGCCCTAGAATTTAACTGCAGGATTGGTGCCCACAGATCCCATAGATCCCATAGATATGTATGTCTGTGTCATTTCACCTGGCCATCCTGAAGCTCTGAGGTCAGCGTCCTTTAGCCTTAGCCTTTTCAGTCTCTCTTGACACGTCATTGGTGACCTTGTAACTGTATTAACTGATTGGGTTGTTTTCTGCCGCCTTTCCTGTCTTTTAACATTCTCTACCAATTCGTTAGTATTGCAGTTATATGTTCTTGTTTTAGAGTTTAACTTCTCAAAACAACGTGTTGCCCAAAAGCACAGCCACTTGGCTGTTATTGGGTATTTTAGGATTGCCCCTCACCTGAGTAACCAATATTTTAGATGATGATTAAAACATATTTAAAATTATTTACTATTTTATTTAGCTTCTAGAAAGATAAACTATGTTATTACACTGCATTTAATTTTTTTCTAAATTTGGTTGATAGTTTTTGGGTGATAGTTTGAGTAATATGACTCTTCAGTTCCACATCTAGGAAATAAATACATTTGATCAAGTTTGCATATGCATATGTACCTAATGTGTCTCTTTTTTTATATATAAGAAAACACTAAAATTATCTGAATACCAATTAGCAAAGGAGTAATTAATTCAGTAAGGGCCTAGCCATAGAGTAAAATATTGTTCAGTTTTAAAAAGTGATTCAGGTCATTGCTTGTCATGGGCTATTTAGAGAAAAAAGGATCGTAAGACAATAAATATAACAGGCATTTTTCTAAGGTGGATAAAGACTCTAAATGGATACTTAAATTATCCACTGTGTGTTGTCACCTGCTGACTTTGTTATGTTAACCTAACTCCCTGGTTTACCATGACTGTTAAAACTCTTATTACATCTTGGGATAATAATTAGTTAAAAGTGTAAAAGATGGGTCTTAGGATGGTTAAGTAACTTTCTCTAGAGCTTTTATCTAGTTAAGGGTAGATCCTAAAAGCTAAGGATGGTTTGTTTATTCCTATATCAGTACTTCTATAACTAGTCATTACAGAACTCACCTGGGAGAGGGAGGTGAGCTGTGGCAGGAAATAGATCTTTAAAAAAAATTCAAAACAAAAATTCATCCAGAGGGGCTGGGAAGGTGGCTCAGTGGTAGAGTGCTTGCCTTGCATGCATGAGGCCCTGGGTTTGATTCCCCAGCACCACATAAGCAAAAAGAAAAAAGCTGGAAGTGGCGCTGTGGCTCAAGTGGTAGAGCACTAGCCTTGAGCTGAAGAGCTGAGGGA